ACACCCGACAATGGGGACGTAACACCCGAAGGACCACTCGGGAGTGCCCGAGAACAATGTTGTTTTTACTTTATGGTGTCGATTGGCACGTTTACCTGCACGCCCGGTTTGGGGGTGGATAGGCAACTTAATCAGCGCACGGCGACAGGAGGGATTGAATAATCGATGTTTTAGGATTTTGGAAAGTGCCGTTTGTATAAGGGAGGTCTCTGTGGTTAAGCCAATGGGGCCACAGAGTTCACATAAAATACTACACAACTTAAAATTAACTTAAAATCTAAGACCGGTTGGTGGTGATGGACAGCTGGCAGATGTGGAGATTCCGTTGCTACTTGACGACCTAGGCGGCCTCTCACACACAGCGTGCTGGCGGACTTACGCAGACGTGGATATCGCCATGGATGATAGCTTTGTGCCAATATCCGTCACACCGCTGATCCAAGTCAGCCCACAGGATAATAATAATAATAGAGAAAAAAGATCTGACTCACGGTTTATTTACTGGTAACGCCACATGTTTATTTTAATAATAATAATAGGTAGGCATATGAATGATTCCGTTACAATAACGGCGACAGGTTACAAGTATTGTCGCACTGACAACACAAAATAATAATTTCTGGTCACATTGACCGCACAGTTGATTATACAATAATCATAATAATAATAGAATTTGTTGTGTGTCTCGAACAACTAAAACACAGAGACAAATAAAAAATGACAATAATAATAATTTTATATGCTACGTTAACGGAGACGACAGATTTTTAATAACGAACAACTCAATGATAACAAAAACAAAACAAAAACAAGGGCGTTGGCCGCAACAAGTGATTAGGTGACAAAACAAAGACAATAAATATGAAAAATACACTAATCACACGAATAATAATAATTAACAATTAATAACGGTAGGAAGAAGACAGGTGGAGTAGACGGACGAGGAGGGAAGAAGTCGCCGTCGCGCTGATTAACGTTCCGCGATAAGCATTTTAATTGCTTGGCGCGAACAATATACTTAAGCTATAAAAACAACATTTTAAATTTATATCAGACTTAAAATAATAAATATTTTTGCTCATTTTAAGGTATAATAAAACTTAATAAAATAAGTAATACATAACATTACATTACTTCTTTAATAACATTTTTTTCATCAATTCTAGTTATTCCTCTTTTATTTTTAAGATACTATTGCGAAATGTCTCTGCCTTTTCAGTCTCTTCTGTATATTTCACAAGTAATTTATTTTCAAATTGTTGGCGTTCCATATGGCGTGTAGATATAGCATTTTTTATTTGTTGCAGACTTCCATTGCAGAGTTGCAAACCACTGGCAGTGGTTATGGTTTTTGGTCTTTCCCTGCATATTTCATTGCTTATGCTTGGATATGAAGAATCTATTGAGGTATGAGAAGTATTGGGATCATATATATATTCTTCTATGCCATCTGATACTTCCGATATTTCTCTGTAATAAATAATTGAACAAATTATTAAACATTATATAACCATCATGACACACATTCCAATTCACAATTTGAAAATTTTTATTTATAATATAAGCAATAGTAACAATAATATTATTATTACCTATCCGATGAGTTAACTATATTTGAACTTGATATATAGACTCCGATTCGGTCACCGGTTACTACGGGGTTAATATTATGGCGTTTACCAAGGAGAACTTGCAATTCACTATAATGATAAAACAAATTTTAATTATAATTAAATATATACCTAATAATAATAATTTATAATTTTATAATATAACTATAATTCAAAAATAAAATTAACCTATACAACATACATATTTCAGCAGTTGATATTGAAATACTATGCGGTATAAGTGATATAGTATTAAATATTGGGTTAGTCATTTTTTTATTAAGCAAGAACTGATTTTATTTAAATGTAAAGAATAATTATTAACCATCTATATTAAATAAAAATTCTATGTGAAATTAAAATCTAATAAAAGTATCAAATTGTATTATTTGTATATATTATGATGTATAACAAATTCATACTCTTCATAAGCACATGTTTTTCTTTCATTTCCAGTTTGTTTGTAATGATGTTTAGTATCCACATAATTTCTTTTTAAAGTTTTAAAACGGTTTTCTGCTTGGTCTACATCAACATCATAACCTTTTTCTTTTAACTCTTCAGTGGTTTTTTCCCACATTTTTTTTAAAAGTCTTAATCTTTCTCTGTGTTACCATTGAATGGTAGGTTTGGTACAAGTCCAATAATAATTTTGATGCAGAATTAGACCATATGTATGAAGTTTTTTTCCTTTTTTCTCCTCTTTAATTTGTTCATCTTTTTCTGATTTTTCACTCTAAGGCCCGGTTGCACAAAAAAAAATGTAGTGGTCCTATAACTTATTGGCTCTATAAGTTTTATCGGTTTGATAAAATATTTTATTGATAGATAAATATTAAAAATCGTTGCACAAATCATTGCCTATAATATTATATTTTGAGCCACATACCATAATGGTTCAGAGTGGTTCAATTATTTAAGGTTATGGTTCATTATTATTTTGATAATATTGTTCTGTGATAATATAAAGAAAGATAACAGAAGATATTTTTAATTTGAATTTGATAGTTAATAATAATAATTACATAATACCTATAATATAATTGTTTGTATTCTTCGTCTACACGAATACTTGTAGGGTACTGCCGTACTGGTGTAGATTAAAATAAGTATTGCTATTTGATTCTAACGTCTAATATTTACAAATTACAATCATGTCCATGTCCACGAGTGAATCCATAAAACGTAAACGTGGAAAAATTTTTAACGAAAATGAAAAATCATCTCTACTGGATATTGTAGCAACATATAAAAATGTTATTGAGTGTGTAAGGGTATGTATTATAATAATAATAATAATAATATATTTATTCAGCCAAATCAATTAAAATTAAATAGTAACAATACATTAATAATAGCTGATACGTATACCAACTGAGCTATATGCTCGTATCTGGTATACGGAGTTCATGGATATCTCAATTTATAGTAAAGTACATAT